TTTAGTATACAAGAAAGCCTTTTAAACTAATAATTTGCTGGTATTGAAGTTTCAGATTTCGTTTTCGCTATGAAGAAAAAAAATATATATGGGTGATTCATTAAGGTATTATTGCTCTGGTAATATAAATTCTACGTGTTTAAAGGAATTTCCCTCTTGCAGGGAGGCTTGTGAAGAGTATGCAGCAGAGATGGAAAAACTAGCTTACAAATTACTAGAACTCATTGCCTTGAGCTTAGGCTTGCCAAGAACTCGACTGAATGGCTTCTTCAAGGAGCATACTAGCTTTATCAGGCTCAATCACTATCCGGTATGTCCCGTCCCTGAATTAGTACTCGGTGTTGGTCGACACAAGGATGCCGGCGCCTTGACCATTCTTGCTCAAGATGATGTTGGAGGACTTGAAGTGAAGAGGAAAACAGATGGAGAGTGGGTTTTTGTCAAACCTACTCCCAATGCTTATATCATCAATGTTGGTGATATTATCCAGGTATCTTATGTGTATTTTGAATTTTATTTTTGTGGCCATAGTTATTTCATTTAATCCTATTATAGTTTCTCCCTGTTTTCTAGGTTAAATTCAGATACAAGAAATCCCAATAGCAAATTTCTTAATGACCAAGTTGGAGAGAAATCCCAATGGGTTGTGTTGAATGAGTTTTCTTGTTTTTCATTTTTATACGGTAGTCTAATACGATTTGGTACATGAATATTTATATATTAAGGTATGGAGCAACGATAAGTACGAAAGTGTGGAACACAGAGTGATGGTGAATTCCAAGAAGCAAAGATTTTCGATTCCGTTCTTCTTGAATCCTGCACATTTCACTTGGGTCGAACCTCTGGAAGAGCTCACAAACAAAGAAAACCCCAACTACAAGGCCTATAATTGGGGAAAGTTTTTTGTGACCAGAAAGCTCAGTAATTTCAAGAAACTTGATGTCGAAAACATTCAAATTTATCATTTCAGGATATAGACTTCTGAGGGAAGTTACTTCTGTTCATGTACCCGTATGAATATATCTATGTAATATGTGCTTATGAGTTACAAATACAGCTTTCGCTGGCTTTTGTTAACTTTGTTCTGTAAATAAATAAAAAATTTCTGAATCCTGGTATGATCATTTCAACATAGCAATGTGTAACTATAATCTTCTTGTAGACATACAATATACCCAATAAAGTGGCAAAGGATTTATCCATCCATTTCTTTTGTCAAGGGAGCTCAAATTCATTCCAGTTCATTAAAAAATTTTGTATCTGCAACACAATTATTTTTGGGGACAGGTTGAAAACAGTAGTACTATTATTCATCTCGACTTACTTGCAACTGTAAATAATATTAGTTGTTGTGAGACGCCACTGTTGGAGTTTGGCACAAATATTAGTACTATTTACAATAAGAAAAATGCCTCTGCTCAAGTTTAAAGCCTCTGTTCTTTTGCTCATATAAGACGGAGAGAGGACAGTTGATACCTGCGATGTTCATTATTGTTCTCTGTTGTTGTAATGTTGTTCCGCTGGTTTTTGTAGATGACTGGACTTTGTCTCTTTCAAAGTGTTTTCTGTGCTTTAAGCAAAGCTAAAACCATAAAGTAACTTAAACTTTTGCTTGATCAGTTGAGATGAAATATGTTGTTATTTGACAAAATAGAGGAAAACAAAAAGACTGCAGGGAATATTTTTTCTTATTCATTTCGTAACTCTTAAATAGAGTTTTGTTTAACAAAAACACTAACAATACTCCTAAAATCAAGCTAATGAACTCAAAAATAAAACAGCAATAACAAAATCCTATAACTTGTTTTTTTATCACTAGCTCAGCACCTTTATTCCAGCATATTCAGCACTTGCAGCTTCATTTTTATGGCAATCTGTTAACAAAATACATCTTAATAACAAGATTTTACGAGGGAGAGAGAGAAATGTTTAAAAGGAAGTAAACATGTTCTGCTAGATAAGGTTGTCTGGTGACAAATAT